TAAAACATATAAAATAAATAAAAATAAAATAATACAATAAATAAATACAACAGTGAACAAGTAACGCCTATTGTTGTGTATTGTAATGAAGTGTGCTAGATGTGAACCAAAATGTTATTGTCATAGTTTGTGTTTTTGCCTGGTGGTTTATTCTGAATTTGGTTGTAAAAGTTATATAAGTTAGAGAGAAAAAAAGAACCTGGAATAGGTTTTTACAGATGAAAATCTCTATTATTAATAACAGCTTAAAATATTATTTTTAAGGTTATAAATCTATTTATTTTAATCAGTGTCTGTGAAACCAGTTCCTACATAAAAAATATGCGATCTTGTCATCAAAAATATATTCTTTTTTTGATAAAATTGATTCAAATGAGTGACAAATACGTTAAAATAACTAAATCTACCACTATTCAGTTGAAATATCTTCCTATAATTAGCATTATGCTATGATAGTTGTACTAATGTGATTTGCACCAGCAGAATATACTTCATAGTTTTATAACATTGTGGTGTATCAGTCTGGTATCTGAAATATTATGATCACTTTTGACACCACCTTAAAGTTGTCTAAACTTTAAAGCGTATTATAAATAGTAACGGCAACCAAACCACATCACTTAAGTATTACTTGGAAGTGGTAGTAGTAGTAACGGTTTGTCAGTTTTGGCAACGTTTTTGGAACTTTTTCCAAACCTTGAATGTGGCAGAACTTGATTATATAATGTGTAGTTTTAACAAATAATTCTGGTTAGTACCGCACCAAATTTATGTGTAAATAAAAAAATAATTTAGGTTTATGTTTTAGGTTAATATTTTTGTTTGTGTTGTAGCTCAAATTTCTTACATTTACTTCGAAGATAGTAGCTATAAAAAGAAAAATTGGATAGAAAAAATGTACAAATTACATTTCCATAAAAAAGTCTTTAAAAGTGGATACGGTTCCAACTTTACACTTAACAGCTGATCTATCATAAGTGAAATCAAGTACTTTGTAAGAAATTAAAATAAAATTTGAAAAAACAATATAAATCAAAGTTTTTTTTACAGTGTACAATAAATAGAACTAAACCAGGAAGCATAATATGATCTTTGAAAACAAGAACATGTACATGTACTGCAGGGTAAGAAATTAAAATAAAATTTGTAAAACCAAATAAATCAAAATTAATTTTTTTATTTTTGCATTGTGCAGGAAATGTGCCAAGACGAGGAAGCTAATGATCTTCAAGGACAGTCCATAACAGAATCTCAAACTGCAGCATGCTACTGATAATGGAATGGCCCGGGATTGAAACATCCCAAAGGATTAGAAAACCGGCTAACCATAATATAATATTTTTCACAAGTATAGTTTTATTCAATGTAGGCTCCATGGTGGCCATTTAGGGCTTTTATTTGGCAACTAAACTTAAATTTTTGACATTGTCAAAGTTCAAATAAAAACTAGGTACCTACAGTTTATTTTTTTTTTATCTGGACTCGTGTTATTTTGTTAGGTTGGTGGCTTATGACAGTTTGACTTAGTATTTTTATTATTTAAAAATGGTACTTCTGCTAAAGAATTTAATTAAATACTTTGACATTGTCAAATTGACAATAATATTTATTATTGACTATTTCCCTCGTCTTAATTTCCACCAATCACAAACGCGCAATTTTGAATTACAAATGGTTTCTAGGTGAAAAAATTGTGTGACAGCACCTGTCAGCAGTTTACCCGCGGCAAAACTTGACAGCTGTTGTCACCAAAAATTGCAATTTATATTTTAATTGTTAACTGTTACTCATGAAATAGTCTTGTCAAATACCATTCGGGCATATAATTTTTCCTGTGAAAAAAATCGAAAAAACACAATGCTAAGTAATATTTTTTAACAAAAAGCATTCGTGCAGGTGCAAAAATCCTCCTCTTCGACTCGGATTTTTGTTGCCACCAGCACTCATGCTTTTTGTTAAAATATTACTTAGCAACGTGTTTTTTCGATTCTTTTCGGAAAAATTAAATGCCCTTATGATATTACTTACGATAATTTACTTGTCAATTATAAATAAAAAGATAATTATGCCAAAAATAATAGCAACGAATTCAAATTTAAAAGCCCTTTTGAGGGCAAAACTTCATTATGATGAAATTATGCCAAATGCCACAATGGACGAAAAAGTACATCGCCTTATGGACATTTTTGGAGTAAAAAAGTAACGAATTTGGTTTTATAAATATAACATCACACATTATTTTCACATTATTCACCATTGGACAACATTTACGTTCACAAAAAATTTTAATTTATTTTATATAAATTCTTTTCAAAGCGAAGATTTTTATCCGCTAGGAATATTTTCTTTTCTGGGCCGTAAAGCAACCTATATTTAACTACTTTTTTATATGATTTTACTCATCCAAGCACCACCAAAGCCAAATTAATTGCATTTTTAACTACGAATTTCGACAAATCAACTTGACAACTGCACAATGTAACCTACAATAATTTATACATAACTACAGTTAGATTTATAACTAGCTTAGTTTGTTTTAATCAATGCGACCAACTTGACAACTGTATTTACCAACCAAAACCCTAAATTTTCAACGTTGCCGCAGTCCAGATAAAAAAATGAACTTTACCTACTAAATTGCAATTATTTGTAAAACACTCTTTAAAAATTAATTAGGCAAAAATGACTACTTTTTTAACTTTTGACATTTTCGGATTCGTAGGATAATTTTACATAAGAATTGGCTGTTAAATTTTGGGATCCCATGGTATCCCATATTTAACCATGGTACAAGTGAAAAAGCAGCCACTAATAATTATTAAATTATTCATTTTTTGACTAATACATTTTTAGAGAGCAATTTTGTTATAAATAAATTTGGAAAAATATGTTGTTTACAATGCAATGTTAATGTTGACACTTTTCATTTCATTCTTTATTTTTGCTTTAAAACAAGATAATTTATTTGAAAACCCATTATTTAAAACATTTACCTACGTAAAAACTAAAAATTTTTTTTTTAACTTTTTTTCATATATTTTATTTGGTATTTGGTAAATATTATTTACTTTAAAACAATATATTTTATTTAATTAAAAGCCCACATAAAATAGTTTTTTTATTTATAATATTTTCTCGAAATCCTTTTTACAGCATGTTGATGGAGAAAAAAGTATTTTAATATTAAATTTACGGAGCCAGTAACACATTTTGAGCAATTTTTAAAATCTAGTTTTTGAAAATGCCGAAAAACAAAGATAGTGAAATCAAAAACTTTGAAATATTTTATCTCACCAAATTAAAGACAAGATTTATTTATTATTTTTCGTGTACTGAAGCACTGAAGAGTATGTCCGTCATTTTCTTTATAAATGGAGGAGATACATATTGGATTTATTTACACGCATTAACCATATCTAATCTAAAGCAAACAGTATAGATACGCGTTAAAAAAATATGCTTTTTAATATATACAGGGTGAGTCATTTAACTTGAAACTGAAATATCTCAGTTAGTATGCATTTTAGGAAAAAATGTTTAAAATAAAAATTAAATGATACTCATGAGTATGAATACTCTCCTCCTTATAGGGGGAACAGGGGGTAACTTTAAAATTTCCAATGGAACACCCTATTTTTTATTGCAGATTCGCATCATTCCACTAAAAATGGGTAGATTTTGTCTAAAACATTTTTTCATATTTGTAATAGATGGCGCTGTAATAAAAAAATCAATTTTGTTCGATTTTTCTTCTGTATACGATTCTAGAATAATTTTTGAATAAAAGACTTGGTTTTATTTTTTAAATTTATTTATTTATTTTTTAAATTTTAGTTAAAGTAGGTGCTCAAAATAACCATTAAATATTTACTCGACGAACTGTTTTTTTCTGATGAACACTCCCGTTTGTAGTAAACTGCTTGACTGTACGGTAAAATGAAGTACGTGATCGAATTTTTTCCGAAAAACGCTGAGCGTAGATATTAACAGCATCATCAAGATTTCTGCCTGTTTCTCCATAAATCAAAATCATTTCTATTTTTTCTTTCACTGTTAAAAAATCCATTATGAATAACTGCTTAACGAAAGGAGGTCTTTTGTTTGTAAATTAATCTTCGAACTAAATTGATTAAATAATGCTAAACTATGTATAAATAGTTTCTTTATACATCAATAATAATTATTATTTATAACTAAATACCATTTTTTATACCTCAATTAGAATTAAATTAATTAATTGACAAAATAATGTTTGTTTTTACAATAAATGAGGTATTTTTATTAAAAATAGTACAATAATCCTTTAAATTAAAGCATTTAATGCTGGCAGGTAAAAAGTGACCATGGTGCGCAATTGATAATTATCACCGAATGAAATAATGTATAAAACTTAAACCTAAGGAAACTAAAATATTAGTTAAAAAATCGTGGGTACTTAAAAAATCAGGTTTAATTTAATAAGATAATTATTACCAAAAAAAGTGATATTTTTATAGAAAAATTATTGCAGAATCGTATAAGAACAAAAATGGAACAAAATTATTTTTTTTTCATTACAGCGCCATCTATCACAAATATGAAAAAATGTTTTAGAGAAAATCTACCTATTTTTATTCCAATGATCCGTATCTGCAATAAAAAATAGGGTGTTCTATTGGAAATTTTAAAGTTACCCCCTATAAGGAGGAGAGTATGAGCATCATTTAATTTTTATTTTAAACATTATTTCGTAAAATGCATACAAGTTTCAAGTTAAATGACTCACCCTGTATATTTCACACCGCACTGGGCCGTTAAAATATATTACACCTTCCGCAACTGTTAATTTTCAGTTGTTTACGACACCACACCACAATCAAAGCAAAAAGTGTACAATGAACATTAAAACGAAATATATCGGATTCGCAACAGTTGCGGTGATTATAATTTTTATTTATACACATGAAAAATCATATAATTTGAATAAAAAAATTAAATTTATTAATGAGCAGAAAAACAACATGACAACAAAATATATTCTTTACTACACGAACATTTTTGGCGTAGATGATTTTTACCTTGGTTCCGGAGATATTTTTAAAGACTGTCCGGTGAATAATTGTTACACCACTAGAGACAAAAACTTGATGCCGATCGAACAATTCGACGCTTTAATATTTCACGGATATCAGTATGAGTTTCGTTTTGGAAAACCCGATAAAAGATCGCCTCATCAACATTACATATTCTTCAACATGGAATCTGCGGGGAATACGAAAAACTTGAACGAGTTTGCAAGGTTTTATAACTGCACGATGACCTATAGATACGATTCCGATATTTACCATCCATACGGAACTATAGTGAAAAAAGACACAAGCTATACTCCACCATCGGCGGAATCGATTGAAAAAAGGAGAAGTAAAATAGCATGGTTTGTCTCCAACTGCAAAACGTTGAGTTTTAGGGAAAATTTGGTCAGGGAAATGCAGAAATACGTGGACATAGACATTTATGGGCAATGCGGCGATAAAATTTGCTCAAAAGACTCTCCCGAAGAATGTTACAATCATCTAGAAGAAAACTACAAGTTCTACCTTTCATTCGAAAACACTGTGTGTAACGATTATGTGACGGAAAAACTCTTTTATATACTCCAAAAAAACGTTGTGCCCATAGTGTACGGGGGTGCCGATTATAATATTGTTGCCCCCCCAAATTCAGTGATAGACGTCAGTAAATTTCAAACAGTTCCTGATTTAGTGAGTTTCGTAAAAAAATTAGACAGTAATGTAAGTGCTTATTTGGAATATTTCGAGTGGAAAAAACATTATGTTGTGGATACAAGTAACACGAACACTTTGTGTACGTTGTGCGAAAAATTAAACGAAAAATCTCATAGGGTTTATAATGACATGCAAATGTGGTGGAGGGGTGTAAACGGGGCAGAATGTACAAGTTTTCCAAAAATAATAAAGTCGTTTATGTAGAATAACCTCCTATTTATTTTTAGAAGCCAAATATACTTATCATTACCTAAGTTATTAATATTTATAAGTATAAATAAACCACTTACATGGTATAACCTTTTTAATTAGCGGTTTTTCTATTTTTGTATGTAAGTATGTATATTGGTACTACAAATACAAACAAAAGGTTTGTTATCTTTAAATAAACAGTTAAGTAAGCTTATATTTTAATTATTTACTCCCAGTTTTTAGCACAATGTAAAACATACAGGGTGAGTCATTTAACTTAAAACTTTGAAATATCTTAGTTAGTATGCATTTTACGAAAAAAAAATTAAAATAAAAATTAAATGATTCAAGGGGGGAAATCAATCAGTACCAAAATTGGTCCTCATACTCTTCTCCTTATAGGGGGAACAGGGGGTAACTTTTGTCTAAAACATTATTTCATATTTGTAATAGATAGCACTGTAATGAAAAAAATATCAATTTTGTTCGATTTTTCTTCTGTATACGATTCTCCAATAATTTTTGACTTCAATGCATTTATTAATTCGCATTTCGTTTTAATATTCTGTTAACACTAGTCTGTGCTCTGTCCCAAATCTCTAGATAATTCTCGTGTGCTTGCATGAGGATTAGCGGCCGTTGCTGCTAATACATTAATTTCATTATTTCCACCCGTGACTGTTGCTCGACGAACTCTTTTTTTCGGTTGAACACTCCTGTAGTAAACTGCTTGATTGTACGGTGAAATGAAGTACGTGATCGAATTTTATCCGGAAAACGCTGAGCGTAGATATTAACAGCATCATCAAGATTCCTGCCTGCTTCTCCATAAATCAAAATCATTTCTATTTTTCCTTCCACTGTTAAAAAATCCATTAAGAATAACTGCTTAACGAAAGAAGGTCTTTTTGTTTGCAAATTAATCTTCGAACTAAATTGAATAAATAATGCTAAACTATAAATAGTTTCTTTATACTTCAATAATAATTATTATTTATATCTAAATACCATTTTTTTATACCTCAATTAGGATTAAATTAATTAATTGACAAAATAATGTTTTTTTAACCTTAAATGAGGTATTTTTATTAAAAATAGTACAATTATCCTTTAAATTAAAGGATTTAATGCTGGCAGGTAAAAAGTGACCATGGTGCGCAATTGATAATTATCACCGAATGAAATAATGTATAAAACTTAAACCAAAGGAAACTTAAATATTAGTTAAAAAATCGTGGGTACTTAAAATATTATTATATATATAATTATTACCAAAAAAGTGATATTTTTATAGAAAAATTATTGCAGAATCGTATACAGAAGATAAATCGAACATAACTGATTTTTTTTCATTACAGCGCCATCTATTACAAATATGAAAAAATGTTTTAGACAAAATCTACCTATTTTTAGTCGAATGATCCGAATCTGCAATAAAAATAGGGTGTTCCATGGGAAATTTTAAAGTTACCCCCTATTCCCCCTATAAGGAGATGAGTATGAGGACCAATTTTAGTACTGATTGATTTCCCCCCTCGAATAATTTAATTTTTATTTTCGTAAAATGCATACTAACTGAGATATTTCAAAGTTTCAAGTTAAATGACACCCTGTATAAGTAAAACAAAAATAAAAAAACTTATTTTCAAGTTTCTAAAACATAATTAGAATTATAAAATTAATTTACCAAACGGTTGGTTTTGGTAAAACCTGATTTTTTTTCAGGCGTATAACAATTTTGACATTATAACATCCATAAGCCTATATACAAAATCTTCATATTTGTACGCACTTCAAAAGTCAAATTATAATACACCGCCGTACAATAATGAAAATACCTTGAAGTTACATAGGAAGAGTTTCATGTACATAACCTATAATATGTCACACGTCAAACGTGACAAAATGTCGCCAACTATATAGTTTCAATGTAAGTATATAATTATTAAATGCTCGAAGAAAAATTTTATATAGGTACGGCGAAGAAAGCATATTAACTTTGGGGCATTTTAGTCACGGGCTAAAGTTAGCTTTATTATAAATTGAGGAAAAGTGAGGTTAAATCCGTTTAAAGTTGACAGATGCAATTGTCTTTAAATTCTTCTTTGTGTTTGTCGTAGATAAAGTATAGTGTGCAAACCATTGATAAGCTGTGACTTTATGGTGTTTTAATCACGGGTTGAAGTCAGCAACAGTGGCTTTATGGCATTTTAGTCACGGTCTGAAGTTATCTTTATTAAAAATAAGGAAACAGTGAGGTTAAATCCGTTTTAAGTTGACAGATGTCAAATGTTTAACAAATAAAGTTGGCTTTAAATTCTTCTTTGTGTTCGTCGTAGATAAAGTATACTATGCAACTCGTTTATGAACTTCTCTAGACACTCGTTTTTATTAAACACTCGCTCGCAAGCTTCTCTTGTGCTTAATTAAACTCGTCACTAAAATGGCGTTTATAAAACTTGATCCATAATACACTATTAAATATGTTTATTAATTATTTTGTGGTATTTAAATAGTGTTTATGTATTTACAATAACAATTATTTTATTATTTTAATTTTACATAATTTCATTGGCTTATTTTGTTAACACATTTTATTGCTTTTATCTTTTTCAACTAACCGTAACATTTATGCAACTGTAATTTAATTATTATTGCGACTTTATTATTTACCCAATTATTTAACAAAAAGTACAAATGTCAGTGTCGTACAAACATTTTTCAATAGGAATATTGTTATAAAATATAAAACCAATTTGTGCAAATAGCGTTTATTTTGCACGCCCAAGATTGAATTATTCCATACCAAAATACCCAAGCTGTCCCCAATTTTAAAAAGAATTTTCAGAAAGGTATTATGTGAAATAACGTTGTAATTTAGTTAAAAAATAAAATAAAAACAGGTACTAACCTTCCGTTGCAACTGCTTGTAGTAAAGCCCTAAAAAAGCAATTCCTGCTCTGAATGTCAAGTTCCCTTTTGTCCATATTAATAAAACTATTGGCGGTTTGCTGGCAAGCCAATCTTAAAAAGGGCCTTCTAATAAAAACTTGTGCTTGTGCATCGGAAAATAAATCCTTCAAGACTGCGCTGCTTGGAAAATTTTCAAAAAAATCCGCCACCTCGGTTTCCCGTTTCACTTTAATCCTGTGGTAACAGCACGGCATAATAACCAATGAACTCACAGCATCCAATTTTGAGAACAAATCCAAAATTGTTATGCTCAAATCGGCGCAAGCGTGCAAACCGACCAGACATATTTTATTATTTTTTACTTCGTTTTTGTGAAAGTTTTTTTCGATTAATTTTTCAATTTCATTTTTGCTGTCCTCGTTAATAAAATGTGCTTCAAAATTTACTGATTCTTTGGAGTTTAGATGTAGTTTCTCCTGATTTTTGTAAGCCAATTCAATATATTTTAAAGAGCAGTCGATACCGAGAACGTTATATTTGTATTTATCATTCAGTAAATGAGATAAGTAACCCTAAAACAAATATTTGTATTTAGTTCAAATCATTCTTTGTAAAATTGTCTTATGTGTCAAGTTTATGGTTCAAAATTATACTAGGATGCACCTTATAAATGTCATTTTTGAATTTTAAAACTCTGGATAATTTTCAATGGGAAAACAGGTATTTTTGTAAAATCAAACTTTGAATTATTATAACTTTGGAAATAATTGACGAAAACATTCAATTTTTTTTTACCTGGCATAATTAATTTTCTGCTATTTATCCCAGTTAAATAAGGGCAGTGGGGGCCCGTGACATTTCATTTTGGTGAGGCAGAGGCAGGGTTTCGCCGTCATTTAAAGGCGAAGACATTTTTTTAAACCCAAGTTAAAAAAACAGACGTTGCAGTTCACAACCTATACTTAAAACTAAGTAAAAAACTTAGACTGTGGTGGGGAAGGAATCCTCTACTTTGTCAATGAAATATATTTTATTGTAAAAATGACGTTTATTTTAAATAAACCTCATTTTTGTCTAATTAATATTTCATTGTTCAGCAAGAACCACGTGAAGGTCAACAATATAGGTACAATTTCTCACCGTAATATCCATAATGATTAAATTCACATAAATCACCAAGTTCAATTAACTAAACCCACAGAATAAACCACTTACAAAAGAATCATAAAATAGACAAACTCATAGAAAAAGAATAGACAAAATATTGCGTAAATAACCACAGATTTGTGTTTAAACAGTTCAGAAATTTATAACCAAAACAAACCTAAAGAAGGAATCTGTATTTATTTTATTGGTTACTGTGATGGCTACAAGATGGCGATAGTGTTAAAATATGTTTATTTTAGAATGGAAATATAATTTCGATTAAATCGATTTATTATAAGAAAAATAATACCATTTATTATTGAATTTTGAAAAACGTGTGAAGTATAATTTATCTAAAATTCCGCAACAGTGTTGCCACTACACCTGCTTATTTCCTTGGATGTAGGGGTGCCTGCCTCGCGTATGATAATACGAGAGAAGGAGACAACTATGATATCGCATTGTAATAGAACGAGACAACAAGGCTAACGCCAATCGTGAGTCTAAATTAGTTCAGGCATTCATCTGAGCCAATCATCTAGCTATAAATATTAGTTTAAATTGCGGTCGTTTCAAATTCAAATAATTTAAATGTTGCTGGGTATTCCATATATAAAATCAATCAATTTTATTGACTATTTCACAATTCATGTAATCCAAATATTAAAAATTTATAGTAGGTATATTATAGAAAGTAAAATATTTAAATTATACTTAATTTTTTAATTCTCTATGATGAGGCACTGCCTCACCTGCCTCCCCTGACGGGCCACCACTGAATAAGGGTAAATAAAGTCCACCCTAAATTATATAAAGGGTGTAAGTATATTTAAAAACGAGCCATGCTCTATAAGTCCAAACCTAAAAAAGATATCAAAAATCAAAACTCCTGTGGCTGTACACACAAAAAAATAATAGTTTGATTTTAAAATAACGAAAGTTTTGAATTTGTATATTTGAAATAAGTAAAGTTGCCTAATATTTATAATATGGAATAATGAATATTAGTTTTGTTAAGTTTAATTTTAGAAAGAAATAAGTTTAATTTATCTATTACGATTAAGAATATTTAATTCATTTAAATTTTCTTGCATTTAAATATAAAATTATTCCCTATTTATTGTAAATTAATTTAGTTTTTATTTAAATATAAAATAAATTTAAATTAAACTTGTATTAAATTCAATTAAATTATATATTCTTAAACAAAGCTGCGTTTTCTTTATATTAAGAGTAATTTACTTAAATCAAGAATACGCTAGATTTCGCGAACATATACGTTTGCAAAGCTATGACTGGCTTTGGGCGGTATCTACTCTATAGAGTAGATACCGCCCAAAGCCAGTCATAGCTTTGCAAACGTTGCAACGCGTTGGTTGTCAGAAAAAGTTTAGTTTTGTCTCCCAATTCGCAATTAACAGTAGGTAGTAGGTAAAAGTAGGTATACCTTTACTAGTAAAGTGTTGTGTGCCGTTATGGAAGAAATACTAACTAAATTATTGTTTTTTAAAGGTTTTAGACAATGTTACCTATAGGTAATGATTAAGAAGTGAATTTTGGAATTTCAATGTCTAATTTTAATATTGGTTTCTTACAACGCGTTGCAACGTTTGGATTATAATCTATAGAAACTATTTATTATCGTCAGGTACCAGAAGACTATTAGAAATATTGGCTAATCGAAAGGTTGTAACAAACCAATATTAAATTAAGACACTGCAAGTCCAAAATTCATATGTTAATTAATATTCAATAATATTAGATTGGAAACAAAATATGATATCTATAAAATAAATATTGTTTAGAGTTATCCCAAGAATATACGTAATTTAAAATCTAGAACTATTAAAGTTTATTTTAAGTAAACGAATACGTTTATTTTAAATATTTGGTAGCTTTAAACAAAACATAATAGATTTGATATAAATAAACACAAGTAAACTTATATTTTATTTGTATTAAGAGTATAATATTCTTGCGTATATATAACCATGCCATACATTTAATGGAAATGTTGGTTATTTAATGTAAATGATTATTTTTTTGTGTGTAGCCCCCCCAACTCAATTGTTTTAGTTTTTTGTGATACCTTTTTGGAAAGCTCTTAAAAATTGCTATTTAATAGCACTTTTTAATAGTTTAATTTTTGAAAAATACGCAAATGAATTTTTATAATTATTTATACCAATTTCTCCTTATAAATATCAAATTGAACCATTTTGTTGTATGTATGTACTTACCAATCCACAGCCTATATCTATTATATCATTAATTTCATTCTGTTTGCATATTGTGTCTACTAAAGGTGCTAAAGATAATATTTCATGCGATTTTTTACTGCTTAGACAGCAATTGTGTGCAAATTTAAACTCTAATTTTTCTACATTGTATTCATATGTAGGAGTTAAAGATTGAACTTCATGTAGAAAATCTGCCAAAGACTTTGGAATATCAAGCTACAAAAAATAAAATTAATTGGTTTTTGTAATAATATTTAAAGTTCGTTTTTTTTATTTGAACACATTTAATTAATTTGGAATTGTAACATAGACTTAGTCTATACGATAGTAATTTATTTTCATAATGCAGAATAAAATAAAAACGAACTTTATGGCATACTTTACTTACGTCTGTTTCTTTATTCACAAAACTTTTAAGCCGATCCAGTGTGGACTTTTTAAAATATTGGCACCACTCATAAGGGATGTTTTTTAGCGTTTTTTCTACTATAATGTCGTTATTAGGACCACGATAGATCCACTGATATTTATTAAGGAAAGTTAAAGCATCCGAGAAATATTCGCTTGGTGAGGTGTAATTAGCGGGTAAAGACATTCCTTAAACAATTTAAGTATGTAATGGTAACTATTTTTAATTGCCAAAAAAGTTTGTATACGAAATTTAAGTATTAAAACATATATGTACATTATTTTCTTAACATATCAATACATTTTTATGTTAATTTTTTTGAATTTATATTTGCAACACAACAGTAATAGTATTAGGTATATTACACAGTACGACAAAATTTGATTTTTGGTCCCTCCCATGAAAAATTTCTACAGATTCTAAAAATAGGGTTAAAAAAATGATACCCGTGTCTCGGCGTTTTTTCACATCACGTCATAATTTTTTTTTAAGGGCTATCCAATAAAATGTTATTCACACTATTCGCGACATAATTTAATAGACTCGATAACAGCTGGACTGCATAGTTAAAAATATATATATTTACTAAATGGATAGGCAACCATTATAGATGCATTTTAAAATTATTTTAATCTTATACAGAGTTTTGCACATTTATATATATATATATATCAAACGGTTTATTTTTAAACCAAGTAACAAAATGTTTCAATTTTAAGCCAATCAAAATGCTTTAAAGTCGGGTGATTACAATTTTTATTTATTCAATTTTTTGTAAAAATTGAGCTTTGTTGAATTAACATTTTAAAAAAAAATTAAAAGATATTTAAATGAATTGATTTAAGTCTTAAAGCAAGTGTACCTGAAACATATTTAATTTAATTAAAAAAAAGTATTTAAGTATACGAAGTCAATTGAAACAGCAAAAAAACAAAAAATTTACACATCTGCGGCATTTATACATAAAAAGCATTGTTTTCAAAACAATCTTTATACGAGGGTAATACTTTTTTTTTAAATGTTAAACAAAAACATTATTGCAGCGATAAATCGATAAATTTTTCATATTAATTTTGATTGTTGAGTTAACCATCCATTTGAAATCAAAGTAAAAATGCAGTGTCCGAATCGAAATAATTTTTGTTATGTATGTGGTATATTTGCACCTCCAAGCCATATGCGAAATATTACAAAAACTGTAGTAACAGCTTTTGAAGACTATTTTTTGGTGACCTATATACCAAACTTATGGTATGTACCAAAGGTTTTATGCGATTATTGTTACCGTTGTTTGCATGGATTGCAAGATAAAACACACAGTATGAAACATGTTGCACCAACAATTTGGCTTCGACCCGTCGCGACGTACGGAACACGCATCTGACCAGTGTTATTTCTGCATGTCAAAATTAATAAGTTTTGGATTTCGGTACAATTCTAGAGAGAAAATTGATTACGCCGATGTAGAATCCGTCATTCTCGCAAGAGTGCGATCTGAAGATTATCCAACTGCTCCTTCAGAAAACATATGTGAGGATAAAAGTAAAAGACCTTTAACACCCAGTAGGTACAACCATTTTTTTCGAGATGGAATCTGAATTTATTCCCTGTAGTTCGGGTTATAAAGTACATTTTATAACACAGGACATGAAAGTACATATGTCACTGAAAATAAATTTTCTCCATGCTCATTTGGACTATTTTCCACCAAATTTGGGCGATTTTAGTGACGAACATGGCGAACGCTTTCACCAAGACATTTTAACAATTGAAAAACGCTTCAAGGGAAAAGACGTCAGGCATTTGCTGGGTGAATATTGCTGGTCAATTGTTTGAGATTCTGAAGCAATATACTGCCTGTTCAGAATAAAACCGAATATATCTATATATATATGGGGCGTGGCCTCGCCTCCCTCCAAGGCGCGTCACAGTTGCTTGTGTGATAAACGACATGACGAAAGGTCGAGCAGGTAAGGACTTAAAAAATTAAAAGATAATAATGCAAAAAATCTCATTAGCGATGCAGTCTATTTGCTTAGCTACTGTGTCGCGCGTTGGAGGGAGGCGAGGCCACGCCCCATATATATATATAGATATATTCGGTTTTAGTCTGAACGAGCTGTATAATCGTCAAACTAAACGACCAAGATTTTATTCCAACATGTATTGAATATAAGATAAATACAAAAATGTGTTTCATTAAAAAAAATAAAAAAAATTATTTAAAAAAATCAAAATATAAACTTTTTTTATATTTGTTTTTTGTATTGTGTAAAAACATACAATATTTACAAAAAAATATATTTTTAACCGAGTAAAAAATGTACAATCTGTATAAGCATAAATAATAGGAATGACGGCTTAAAATTTTTTTATGACGTGATCTCGTGAAACTGTGAGACACGGGTACGTTTTTTTTACCTCTATTTTCAAAATCTGCTAAAATTTTTCATGGGAGGGAAATCGTGTTGTACTGTGTTATGTTATTGCAAATGCCAATCTTCAAAATGTAACGAATTTAAAAATACAAGATTTGATAATATTGTTGAACTTAATCGGTTTCTATTTGGATCCAATTTGTTTCCGCCTTAGAAAACAAACGTTCTGAAGGGACAGATGTGCCTTCTACAGAAAAGAATTGAATAGATACTTTTGAAAGCAGTGGATATGTTTTTTTTATTTTAGTCTCAAAATTGAATTGGATCTGCTGATCAATGTTGATTTAAATAATGTTTAAGTTCATCAACATTTGTATTTTTTATAAGTACTATAGTAGAAATATGATATATATTACGGTCACTCCTCTAAAGTGAAATTTTAAAAAAATTAAACTTTAAACTTTGATTATTTTTAAAAAATCGCGAACGAAAAAATCGATGTTCGAAAATCGATTTTTTTTATAACACTGTGCAACACAAAAAATGAACTGGGATCAAATCTGAAAAAATCGAATCTAGGCAACCCCCAAAACAAATCCTTTAAGGGGTTTTACCAGTTTAGCTCGAATAATGGAGATATACATATATATATGTACAGGGTGTTTCTTTTAACTTGAGACAGCTCAATATCTCGAGAAATACGCATTTCACGGAAAAATGTCTTAAATAAAAGGTTAATGTGACTAAAGGGGACATTATTCGGTGCTACCGCTAGCCACCCCCTACCCCTCCTTAAGGGTGAAACGGGGGGTAACTTTGGAAAGTCAAATGGAATGACCCGATTTTTTTCACAGAGTTTGGTAGTACATAAAAAAATAAATCACTTTTATTTAAAACTTTTTTCAATTTATCAACAGATGGCGCTGTAATTCAAAATTTAAGAAAAATGAGTTTCCTTGTAAAATGTGTTATTTGAAACGTTTTAAAAACAAAAATTAACATTAACAACAATAGTTGGCTATGAAAACAATTTATAACAAATGTTCGAAATGTCCTCATTCCATTTCGACACCAAGTAGAGCACCAGCGTCCCTTCAATTTTGAATTACAGCGCCATCTGTTGATAAATTGAAAAAACTTTCAAATAAAAGTTATTCATTTTTTTATGTACTACCAAACTCTGTGAAAAAAATCGGGTCATTCCATTTGACTTTCCAAAGTTACCCCCCGTTTCACCCTTAAGGAGGGGTAGGGGGTGGCTAGTGGTAGCACCAAATAATGTCCCCTTTAGTCACATTAACCTTTTATTTAAGACATTTTTCCGTGAAATGCGTATTTCTCGAGATATTGAGCTGTCTCAAGTTAAAAGAAACACCCTGTATATCTCCATTATTCGAGCTAAACTAGCAAAACCCCTTTAAAGATTAGTTTTGGGGGTTACATAGATTCGATTTTTCCACATTTCATCCCAGTTCAAATTGTAAGGTCAAAATTTGTCGCACAGTGTAATCGAGTTCTATAAATAGTTACCTTCAAGTCAAATCATTAGATGACGCTGTATACAATTATATATATCTCAGTCGGTAATAATATAGAACTACTTTATTTTGGCCCAAAATTTTTGGGTCCATAGGACAAAAAAGTTCGCACGTTACTTTGGTGGTAAGATTTTTGTTTTTTTGTTAAGAGCAGTACGGTGTTTAAATTACAATAAAAAATATTTTTAAAAAGTGTACAGATCAGTGTGTGGTATAAATGTGTTCCTCATGGTTTAAACATTGTCACTTTAATGCGTTTTAATTTTAATTCTGAAAACAAACAGTAAAATGGCCAGTGTCCAATTACTGGTTGGTAAAAAATGTTAATTTCTATTATTGGACATATTTCCAATATCATACTCTATTTGTGTCCCGGAAATTTACCAGCCAATTCTTATACAATGTATATTATGTAAAATTGTCCCCTGAATCCGAAAAGACCGTCAAAAAGTTGAGCAGTTTTTGAGATATAGTCAATTCTATATTATATGTAAAATTGATTATATTTCAAAAACTGTTCTACTTTTATAACTTTTGACGACATTTTCCGATTCAGTGAATAATATTTCATAGGAATTGACTGCTAAATGCCCTGGATACAAATTGCTGTTGACGATAATTATTAGTGGATGCTTTTTCGCTATGACATTTTTGACTAATTCATTTTTAGAGAGTAAGTAATATAGTGATTTCTTCGTCACAGGACATCTTGCAGAATAACAGTGATTTAAATACAGTGCATGATGAGAACATATGGCAACAAAATTAATAAATTTGGAAAACTTTTAACATACCACCCGAAAAAATATTAGATATACAGGGTGAGTTTTAAGTTGACGCGTTCCTTTTAACAGCGTGTAGAAATCAGATAAACAAATAAATATTTTAAGTAACTTTTTTATCAAAACTCAAAAATAAGAGAGTTATAGGCCTTCCATGTTTAATTAAATTTTGTTAACAAAATCATAACCATAAAAATAAAAAAATAAACAATGCAAAATGTCATCTATGACAACAAACATAACCATTTAAATCAAAATGACATTTAGCAATTAAAAATTTCACTATTTACCTAAGTTTTTTTGTGCCTCAATTATTGTTAAAAATGGTTCATAATTATAGCAATAATGAATTAGTGGAAATGTTACTAATTTATGAAGAAATGCTGCAACTTGAGTAAATAATGACATTTTTTATTGCAAAATGTCAATTTGATTTAAATGGTTAGGTATGTTTGTTGTCAAATATGACATTTTGCATTGTTTATTTTGATATTTTTATGGTTATGTTTTTCGTTAAGAATAGCCAGGACCGGCTTAAAATTTAATTAAACTTTGATGGGCTATAACTTTTTTATTTTTGAGTTTTGATAAAAAAGTTACTTAAAATATTTATTTGTCTAGCTGATTTTGTTGAAATGCAGATTATTCAATAGCCAATTGCATTAGCAAAACTTGTAAAATCGAAGAGATTAAAAAACTTCATTCACAGTGTTTGACATATATTTATTCAACATTTCTTGACAGCCAAAAACAACAATGGTTACAAATCAAAGCTTCCGGAAGAGATACATACAAATATAGTTTATTAATAGACACATTGATTCAATTCTTAATATATTTCTACACACTGTAAAAAAGGAACGCGTCAACTTAAAACTCACCCTGTATATAAATCATCCAACTATTAGGTATTAAAAATTCAAATATTCTTATTTTTAAATAAACGTAAACAAACAAACTATAGTATGAAATTCATCAAAAAGTTACATAACAACAATAATATTTTAATGCATTTATGTAACGACAACGTAACATTGTTATGTAACAATTTTACTTCGAAAAGCGGAAAATAGAAACCAATAGCCGGCCATACACAGACGTTATTGCGCGCGGTTTATCGTGTTATCTGCAAAAACATATGGAAAATCATGTACGTGAGTGACTATCGCCGCGCGAAATGATAGAACGGGAAGGGATTTCAGACGTGCTTATCTCTGGAGTGTGGCGTGACCACACGCCACATTCTGCGTCACGGTTTACCTTTGCTTGGCAAAATTTCACGTTGAAAATTTGTACATGATCACATGCAGTTTCAAACTACTCGATAAATGACACTTTTTGCCCACTCACATACGATTTTTCCTTTGAAACTGATATACCACGGGCAATCACTTGCTAAATCATTTGAATACTTTATCAGGTGTATGGAACATGACGGTTTTTTTGCCATGCCGTTCTTTCGTGCATACTAACCGCTACATCCCAACACGCCACGATAAACCGCGTGAAATAACGCCTGTGTATGGCCAGCTATTGTAAAACCATCAGGTTACGTAAGACGTAACGTTGTTGCATAAAAAATTTGTTAATGTTACGTTATGTTACAGTGTTAACCGGGCAATAATTTTTTACTGCCTCTATAAAGAATCAAAAATCTTTATTATTAGTACTACCACTACAAAAGCAAGCTTTAAAGAGGATGTGGAGAAAATCAATGAAAAATGATTTTGTGCATGATAAATACCTAGAAATAAGATGTAATGAACCCAATGCCCAATAAAAGTTGTGTAATCCATAGGGTTGGGAAAATTTCATTTTTTGCTTGTACTTGAAATTTCACTTGAAATTTTCACGACATTTATGAAATTTATTAAAATTTCCTAAATGTCTGAAATTTATGAAATTTGTTGAAACTTTCAATAAATTTCAATTAATAAGTGGAATATATTAATATTGAAATAAGCCCACTCCGTCACCATGGCAAATTGCCTCTCTTACCTCTTACCCCTCTGTGGGCCCCTGCACCAATAATATAAATAGTAAATACCTATGTTTACCACAAATTTCTTGAGATTTCCTTTTAAAATATTTTTAAAATTACTAAAACTAAGGGAGATATAGCACTTTTTGGTAAGCTAATGAGATTGTACAATGCCACTTTCATTGTTTTATTTTTATATATATTTATTATTTTTATATATTTTACTGAAATTTTACAAAAATTGAAGAAACTTCATCAAAATTTTATAAGCCAAAGGCATTTTTTATGTTTTCCGATGCAATTATAGCAAAAGTAAAAGTTTAAATTAATCATGACTTTTAAAAAAAATTTAAAGTCTGATTTAATTTACAAATTAAATTGGTAACTGAATTAAATTATTTAAATTAATTTATGCATATAAGTAACAATAATTTCTTTAAGTGTATTCAAATCCAAGCCGAACTAAACAAAAACAGACGCTTGATAACTCGTTCTTATTGGTCGATTCGGAATCTGTTGTAAATTATTATTAAAGGTCCCAGGGGAGGCCGCATGTGAAATTTATGCGAAATTTTCAGTAAATTGCGAAACTTTCAATGAAATTTCTGAAAGTTTCACAGGCAATGTTGAAATTTTCATTTGAAAATTTCAACCCAACCCAACCTTAGTAATCCATGAAACAAATAGTGCACTTTAAAACACTTTATTACTGAACAATAAATACAAAACAGGGGGGAAACAGTGATTACGCGGTATCAATAACAGTCCACAGTTCTCCTGGCCGATTGCTCACATCCATCTGATCACTTTTTTGTCCCAAAACAACTTTCCCCGTTCTCAAAACGTTCTCATGCCCCAAGAACTTCTCGCCCACGTCCTTCAAGCCCTCGGCATCGACAGTCATGACCTCGGCCCGGTGCCTTTGCAAGGCGTCCGGAGTGAGCCTCCTCAAAAACTCCGCGCAGCCCTTTTTGTTCGGCGGCACGGGCGCGTCGATGGCCTGAAACACGCCCAACTTGGCCTCCAAGATCTCCTGATCGGTGACCTTGTCGACGTTCTCCTGCAACCAAGTCAACGACTCGTCGAAGACGCCCAGCGTTTTTAAGTTTCTCGGGTCTCTGTAGCTGTAAAACGAAAACACGCCGTCGGAGGTCAATCTGGCGCCTCCGCCGTAGGCGCCTTGTTTCTCTCGCAGCTCCCCGTGTAAATATTTGGCGGTTAGCAGTTTAGCCAGGACTCTTAACTTGGCGTAGTCCGGGTCCGCATACGGTACGGTTAAAACGGCTTTGCTGCAATAGTTTACGGGGACATTTAAAACGTGATGTTGGCAATGGACTGCGTCAGTTGGCGCCCATACTTTGCCGGTTATGTAGGAATTTTCGATGGAAAGATTGTCGTTAATGCTGGGAAGATTGCGCAGGAATTTTTCGTAGTTCTTTATTATATTGCCTTCGTTGTCGTGGGATATGTTTAGAGCAACTCTAAAATAAAAATAAATACAAAATGTAAAACTTATTTTAACTATACAATTATTTTTATTTTTACTGACCAGGTTTTATACTTTAAGGAGATATTTTTTTATCTTTTCGATAATTTTTTTTGGATGTAAATAATGTTTTATAAATATACAAACAGTAGGGTTTTTTGTAAAAAAATCTTACCTTTACAATGAAAATATTTTTCATTATTAGAAAGACAAATATTGATATTTTTTTTAAAGCTGTGATTTTTTTACAAAATATGTAATTTTAACAATAAGTTTATTTTTTGTTTAAATACACTTAAACTATAAAGTAATTGTAATTATTTTTTTCTTCAAATAATTGGTTTTATGTTTCTGTCACTTAACACCAATTTCGTCTTATTTGCTGAAGTTTGAACAAAAATATGTATACCATATTGTCAGAAAATAAGACAAAATTAACAGATACATAACCTCAATTATTTGAAGAAAAAAATTGAAATAAAAATTGCCGCATTGAATTTCCGTTACTTATAATAAACAATAAATATTTTCATTGAAAAGTTAAGATTTTTTTTACAAAAAACAGTACTGTTTGTATTTTTATACAATACTTACATAAAAAAACGAAAAATTCAAAAAATCGTTACTACGAAAGTAGGTAATATTAAGAGCTGAAATCTTTGATGAGTCATTATTTTTAATAAAGATAATACTGCCCTGCTAAGAAAAAATGCCGTATCTACAATATTAAGTAATAAAGGACAAAAGATCATTTTAATTGTTAAAAGCATTAAAAATTATCTTTTGTCCTTTATTACTTAATATTGTAGATACGGCATTTTTGCTTAGCGGGGAAGAATAGCTCCACAAAATTAAAAAAAAAATCTGCGGGGGTCACCCCATAAAATATTTGGTGGAATAACCCATATATAATTAATTATTTCCCTCATTATAATATGAACCAATCAAAAGCCTTGAATTTTCGAATAAATTTCGTTTAAATATGCGATTAAATCACTAGAACTATTTAACAGCGATTACATTTTAGTCTCCATATTGGATTTTTGTTTACGATTTTATGGTGTTATTTACAAGTTTTAACAAACATTTTTTAAAAAACAATAAAAAATAAGTTATCTCGTTTTCGAAATATCAATTATTACTTATTACACACCTTAAATTAATGGAATTTTCTTTAAAAAAATATTTATAAATTTTGACACATACGTCAGATTTTATGAATTGTCAAATAGTTTCCTTTAATTCGAAAAATAATCTAGACGTATATCACTCAACCTATAAATTTAATCTGTCAAACTATGCTCAGTAAGTTTTTTATTTGATTTTTCTTTTTGGAAAATAGTTTCATGCATAATAATTAAAAATTAAACCCCTCGATTAAATTATTTTGCATTCAACATTTTCCAACAAAAACCAAACAAAAAACTATAGTACTCAGTATACTGAGCCTAGTTTAACCGATTAAATTCATAGTTCTCGTGATATAATATATGATTATACTGTAGGTAAATTTTCAACTTGAAATGTCACAGCACACGTAAACATAATTTTTGGAGGATCTAAAAAAGTTTTTTCTATTGGCAATTCGATCCGGGGACACACTGTATATTATAATTTGTAAAATAATATATAATAATATCATCAATTATACTCAATAAAAAAAATCATCAAAAAAACATTGTTCCTTTTAATCAATTAACCTCAAATTTTTGTATTTGATTTTTTTATTGGAACTGATGGGGGTCCATCCCAATTGAATTTTTTTAATATATACGGGGTGTTTCCTAATCGGATGCTCCAAAACTTGAAAATTAAATATTAACCTGATACAGCTAAACCAAGCACGGATTTGTTATCTACGACCAAAAATTAAGTTTAGGTGTCCGAGCGTTAACGGTGTTATTATATTTTGGGACTAAAGTATCACAAAAAATGAAATTCTTTTAAGATATTCGAGTTGACTGTACTGTGACGTTTGAGGGGACTTTGTAAAATAATGTAATTTATTTTCGCTTATTTATTTGATATTTTTAATAAATAAAAAACTAATGTAAATTTTTAAATTGATAAAACTTAATATATTTATTAATTATTATAGTTTAATTCTTAAAAAAATGTAAAATAAACGTGAGTAAAGAATAAATATAAACTCTTAGTCCTTTGAATTTTTCTTACGTAAAAGTAAAGTTGATTATAAAATATTTGTTTTATTAAAAAAATATCAATATAAAATAAAGGTAAAAAGTTTCAGTAACTCATAATCTTTTATTTTAAATTTTAAAAATATATAAAATTCTACCTGAAATTTAAATTTGTAGGAAAAAATTAATGAAAAAAAATACAACCTTATTTTACAATTAGTTTTTTTGTTAAGGTATTTAAAATAGTAATTTATATGTTTTGTTAAACTATGATACACTGTTATGTATATTCAATAAATAAATAAATACAAAAAAAGTAATTTATGCAACAAGCGACACTTTTTTGCACGTATGAGGAACGAGCTAGAGTTATAAAACCACATATTGCAAAAAAGTGGCTTTATATTCGAGTTGAATCCATTATTTTTTCTAATACCACAATAATTTCATAAATCATTAGTAAAAATTTAAAGAAAAAATTATTTTATTTTGACGTGTGGGTATGTCAAACTTTTTTAAAATTTATTCACGCGCTCAATTAATAATTTGTTGTAGTATTAATATTAAAAGCAATAAAAGTTAAATTAATTTTTTTCTTGAATAAAAATTATTTAATTTTGGTATTATTACACAAATGCTTTTTAAAGCAGTCATTTATTATTGGTTAGTTTACTTACAAGTAATAAAATATATATTTTAAAAACTGTCTTTTAATAAATAAATAATTAATAAAAGGTTTCCCAAAATTTCCCAACTCATTCTACCTTCAACATTTCAGTACAAAAAAATATACAAAAAATTTGCTCACCTCATTTTGTTCTTGTCGAAAAGACAATTGGCAATGTTGCTAATCTCCGCCAGCATGGCCTTGAAATTGCTCGTGTGCAACAATCTCTTCATGTAGGAGATATGCTGCAACCCGCTCAGCAGCTCCATCTGGTAGGCTGAGCCGGAAACCAACCCCGAAGCGGCCTGCATCGCATACACATGCCCCATATCGGCCAAACCCTGCGTCAACTGCGACATGTAGAGCTGCGTGAGCATCTTGAATCTGTCGACGTCGCAGAGCCGTTGGATCGTGAAAATTTGCTCCCAAAGTTCCCACATGGCTTCGTTGTTCGATTCCAGGCAGTGACTGGAGATCAAAACACCAGGTTCGTACGAGTGCAAATGGTACAGGCTTTCCCCCGTGTGCACGTTGAAGTAAAGTCCGGCCGTTTTACGGTTGACAAGGCTGTCGAAATCGCGGTAGTTCATTTTCTCCGTTCCCAGTTTTCCGATGACGTAACAGAACAGCGGCAGAAGCATTTGCTGCTCTTGGGTCAAAGACACGGTGTTCAATAGGGATCTAAAGTACACGATACCATTGGCGTTGACTTTGTTTATCTGCGTTGGGACGTGATTGACCGTCGTGTGACTTAAAGTGATTCTTTCCACGTCGTTACCAATGTCCTGCATCGTTAAAGTCGGCAGCAAGTTTGTATCGATTGGTTTCTTTTGGTTGGCCTCCAGTTGCAAACATTTCTCGTGTATCTTTCTTTTGTCTTCTTCCTTGAGATTCCTGACCTTCTCTTCGATTAGCTGCTTTTCTTGCTCGGTAATCTTCTTTTCAAAGTCGACATCCGGCGACATACTCAAAATCAATTTGTGCTTGTTCTGTCGGAAATATTGATCAACAACATTTTGCAAATACTTCGGGTCGTTCTCTATGTGGCGCTTAAGTTTTTGTATTATATTATTGACTTGCAGGGATTCCACAACGGGTCCTTGGTGGTTCCACAAGGCGCTCAAACTAAACAACAGTCCCAAACCGAAGTTGTTGGTCTCGTGTTTGATGGACAATTCGTATCTATGCAGCACGGATTCTATTTGGTTTGCGTCAAAACCTGTCTGCACGACTTCATCTATGGTTTTTTCGTAGATGTTGATGACTTTCTCGAAATCATCTTTGGACAAACCCTGCAACCCAACGCTGAATATGCAGTCTCTGGCTTGGTTATCAAACCCTGTGGAACCAGTGAAACCGCTGGAGAAATTTGGTTCGATCATGGATTTGTAGAAGGGCGAGTTGGGGCCTTTGGTCAGCAACTCGGTCACAAATTGCATTAGGAACGTTTCGTAAACATCCGTATTATCGGATAACAAGAGGGAAATAGAAAGCGTGTTTTGCTTCTCAATGGTTTCCCGCATGTTTTCAAAACGACCGGTTATGTGTTCTCTTTTAACCTCCGTCCATCTCGGCTGTTTGGGTACCATTGTGTGCTTAGTTTCTTGGTACACGTAATTCTTCAAGTATGTTTCGTTGATGTATTCCAAAGTAGGAGCCAAAGAAAAATTACCATACGAATAGAATCTGCAGTTACTGGGGTGATAATGATTTCTGTGAAACTGTTTTAAGTCGTCCCAGGTTAAATCAGGAATTTTATTCGGATCTCCTCCCGATATAACCCCATACGTGTGATCGGGTAGGATGGCATTTTGCAGTTTTTGACCCAATATGTTTTCATTTTCCGAGAAAACCCCTTTCATTTCATTATAAACAATGCCTTTGATAATCAATTTGGATGTGGCATCGTTTAAATCCACATTTTCCAATCTCCACCCCTCCTGCATAAAATCAAACTCAGATAGGTTCGGTTTAAAAACGGCATCCAAATAAATTTTCTGCAAATTCCTATAATCAGACTCGTTTTGCGTGCTAAAGGGGTACATAGTGTAATCCGAGCCTGTCATAGCGTTCATGAAAGTGGCCAGTGAGCGATTCAGCATTTTGAAAAATGGATCCCGAACTGGGAACTGTTGCGAACCACATAACACTGTGTGCTCCAATATATGAGGTAACCCTGTGCTGTTTAATGGGGTAGTTCTAAAATTTATTGAAAATACGTTATTGCTATCATTTCTGTACAAGTGCAAGTACTGACATTTTATGTTCGTGTGCTCTAAGCATACAGCGGTAAGGGCAAATTCAGGAATATTTTTTATTTCTTTTACTTGAAAACCATGCACTTGCTGGCCCACCGTAAAATTTTTTATATCCGCTATATTACATACAGTGTCTTTATGTTTTATTGTTTGCACATCCACATGAGTTCGTATGATTTTTTTTAGTGGGGAATTGCCTTTGATATAGTTTATTATATTTCGACTAAACATGTTTCTTGATTACTAAAAACAAATTACAACACATTTTAGTAACCAATTTACGATTATATAATTTACATAGGTATATTTTGAGAGAAACTTAACAAATTTTGAATGTTTCTTGACTGACAACTGTCAAATATAGGCAAAAAAATGATTCAACAGTATTAGAAAAAATAGTAATATTATAAAATTCTATTAAGCAATGTAATAAATAAGATACATTACCTTTTGTTGTATATTATTTCTTTAATTTAAAAATATCTGTACCGCACTAATCAAACATAACCACAAATTGCATGTGATGAAATATGTTGCAACAATCACGGACATACGTTCTAAAACGTCAAAAGTTTTCTTTACCAGTTACTTCGACGCTCGTGTAATTCGCAACTTGTATGTAATACACCTTATAAATAATATCTTTTTCAGTTCTGTTCTAGATAAAAAGCAATAAAACTTAAATTTACTGGAATTCACATTTTTTTCAAACTTACCGCTGGCCGTTTAGGTGAAGGAATATCAAAACACGAAAAACATTCAACAATGACGGCTTCTTTATCCGGTGTCAGTCTTAAATCGCACTTTTTACATTGAACTTGAGGGGCAGTTATACTACTGGTACTGTATAAAAGTTCGCTGTCAGGAGCATAAAGGGTTTCACCACATTTCGTGTACGGATCCTGTAAAACGATTTTACGTTGTATACTTTACACCAAAATGTTATAGATTTTGCGACACAACAACTTAAAAATCACGATTTTAATGTTTGTACAGGAATTTAAATATCGATGTAAACAAATTTTAAAACAACTGTCAATATATGTAATGCCAACAAAAAGATGTGAAAGTAACTGGTTTCTTATTATGCAACCCAGATAACACTTGACGAAAATTTGACATATTTTCTAAACGCAATATTATTGTTAAACTTACAAAAACCCCATCTTCTTTTTCCGCTGAAGGACATTTTCCAGTTAAAAGATCCTTATCGGATTCATCTTCTTCACATAATACTGAATTGGTTGTAGGATCTTTCATATCGCAATTTGCAATGGCTTCATCTCCATACGGATAGTTGCATTCAGTGTCATTTTGTTTTGCTGAAAAAACGTTATTTTCGGGTTCTAAACGACATATTTTTGATTAATGGACAAACCTATTTCTTCATCGCATTTAGGGACAACAAGGGGAATGAAAATACTTAAAAAGGCAACAATTACTAAAAATTTGTACATGATTGATGATTGAAAAAAATACACTAAGAAATGTCAAAAATACGGTAAAATTTTTGTTTTATTTTGATTGTCAGTGTCAAAATTTGCTCATAAATAATATTTTGTAAGAACGGGACAAGTTCATTTTTGTGATAAGCAAAAATGTTTAACCTGTATTAATAATAAAAATACACCAGGTAAGTAAAGTTCATTTTTTTATCTGGACTACAATTTATATCCAATTTATTAAAAAGTATTTATTATACTTCTTAAATAGGGACAAAAATATGTTATTTTTTTTTAAACCGGCAATGCAGCTGACGCATGCGCCTCAATGGAAACAGTCTCAGTTAGAAATGATTTGTATGTGTGGAAGTATGTGAAAATTACATATGGAAAATTACATAGGAGGGGTTCCATCTATCGCATTTTACTCGAATCTAGTGCAGGTAACTATAGAATTAAAGTTCCCTGTGGATCACGGTCTTATATACAGGTCTTGCAACTTTAAGCTTCGAGGTGGCTTCCTTAACGTGCCAAGCCGCTAGGTGGCGCTAAGATCGAAGGGGTAAAGTCAATTAAACTACTACCTAGTTAAATGTGGAACTACTGCATAACCATAACCTAACTTTTTAAATTCTTTTTCTATGTTTTGTTTACATTTTCAAAAATTAATATTTGTGAGTTTGTTTCGGATAATGTACGTTAACAAAATAGGACAACAAAGTCTATACTCTATGCACAAAGTCCTCGGCCGTCACATGCCCAGACCAAACATGTTAATGTATAAAATACATACGTATATCATATATATGTTACGGTCATCTATGGGCTAATGTGTAAACATGGATAGTTTATTAAGTAGCTGGGTAGTTTATAAACTAGCCAAACTGTCAGCTATTTTAATTGAAAACGTATTTTGGTTGGTTTACAAACTAGCTGCTAATTTAGTTAGCAGCTAGTTTGTAAACCAACCAAGGGTCTTGGCTAATTTACTTGAAAATATTTAGGAATAGCTGGATAATTTGTAAACTATCCAATTGAATTTGGCTAATATGAAAACCAAAATTTCTAGTAACACAACAAACTAACCAACCAATATTCTGGCTAATTTATTAATAACCGATTTTTTTATTGTCTTGGCGGGGATGGGTTTATTTAAAATAATATATATTTCACCAACACGATGTGCTTAATTATATAATAATCATACATAATGATACAAAATGTGAAGGTGTCAATAATATATATATAACATATGTTTTTATTGCACATTGCCATGTTTTTAACCGCTCCTTATTTGTTAGCACTTTAAACATGGACCGCTTAATTTTAATGCCGGAACGATTGCTTTGCTGGTTACATTTTGGCACAACACAGGACTTCATGTCTATTAAAAAGCACAAATACAAATGTATAACAAGAACAAATATAACATAAGTAGGTAGTTCATTTGACCTTTATCCCATAGACTTTAAGGACTTAGAGCCGGTTTTACAATCGTTAGATTAAGTTAGCTTATTTGGCGGATAACTTTCATAGAAACCTTCTATCTAAGAAAATTATCCACCAGAGAGCTTATCTAACGATTGTAAAACCCAAAGATAAAGAAGGTAAAAACGACCTTTAAACATCTATGGTTCACCCTCAACTCGATGCGCCATCTGGTGGGTGTCTCATTAGAGAGGTCACTTTTCCTATTGAAATTGGGCGAAGTTGCAAGACCTGTATACAGGGTGTTTCATTATATATGCGCAGGACTTCAGGATGTGATAGCTCATCCAAAAAGATGAAAAAAGTCGCTATTAACTTACCCTCTAAAATGCACAATTTTCGAGATACAGGGTGTTGAAATTTTAGAAAAAAAATCGTTTTTTTCGATTATCTCTGGAACCGTTCATCTTACAAAAAACAGCTTTTGTAAGCATTTTCTACTCATAATAAGCTATGTTTTGTGCCAGAAAAATTTTTTTTTTTTTACTCATAATTGGTGGAGATTTTGAAGGGGTAGCGGGTGTTTTTCTCCTCAACTTCAATGCCCCTGAAAAAAGTATGGTTTTGAGAGGCCCATTCGAACCGCCAATGTTTTCTACACAAAAAAGGTACTCTTGGTCATAAGCTCTAAAGTTGACCGTTTTCGAGAAAAATCAACTTTTATGTTTAAAAACATGGTCAATTTTTTGAAAAAAAAAATTTATTACTAATTAAACAAAATTTATTTTAACGTTAGAAAAAGTAACAAAACCAAACGATAATTGCAAAATTAAAAAAAAAAATAAAAAATGATTTTTTACACAAATGCTGTAATGTGCGAAATGCGTTACCTTTACGGTTTGGAGAATTTAGCAGACAACTTTTGAATCATTTTTTATTTTGCAATTATGGTTTGGTTTTGTTACTTGTTCTAACGTTAAAATAAATTTTGTTTAATTAGTAAAAAAAAAAATTTTTTTTTTTATTTAACACTTTTTTTTAAACATAAAAGTTGATTTTTCTCGAAAACGGTCAACTTTAGAGCTTATGACAAAGAGTACCTTTTTTGTGTAGAAAACATTGGCGGTTTGAATGGGCCTCTCAAAACCGTACTTTTTTTTAGGGGCGTAGAAGTTGAGGAGAAAAACACCCGCTACCCCTTCAAAATGAGGAAAAAAAAAAATTTTCTGGCACAAAACATAGCTTATTTTGAGTAGAAAATGCTTACAAAACCTGTTTTTTGTACGATAAACGGTTCCGGAGATATTCGAAAAAAACGATTTTTTTTCTAAAATTTCAACACCCTGTATCTCGAAAATTGTGTATTTTAGAGCGTAAGTTAATAGCGACTTTTTTCATAATTTTGGATGAGCTATCACATCCTGAAGTCCTGCGCATATATTATGAAACACCCTGGATAAGACCGTGCTGTGGATTAATTCATAACCTATAATGTCAAAGGCTACCTATGATAAAATGTCGCACTTAAAAATTTTAATAGTATAGAATTATTAAAGGCTTGAAAAATAGTTTATAGTGTAAACTTTATTCAGTATGACCACGGAAAATTTCATACTTGATTTCAAACCCCCAGAAGTGGACAATAAAAATGATCGCTCAAAAGGCAGCGAAAGTAAAATTTTCGTTGCGCGTGTCATGAAAAATGAAATTTTACCTTTATTGTGTAACCTTACCATTTTTAAGTGTTTTGCAAAATAAAACAAGTTATCCAATAATTCTTATATTTAAAAATATATAAATCTGATATAACAAATATGCTGGAAAGAAATTAAATATAACATAATAATAAATCTCATCTATAATACTTTCATTTACAAAATATTTAAAAACAAAAAAATAATGTAAAAAACATTGATCTAGGTTAGCATCACGTGAATATAACTATAATTTGCCAATATGACAAAAATGTTTGGTTTTAAATTAATTTAATTTTTTAGTGGGTCTAGGCTTTCCAATGAAAAATCGTCGTTTCCAAAACTGATGCCACGACTGAAACCATTCTGAAAAAAAAAATTAAAATTAAATTTTTTGGAGGGTTTGTTTTTTTTTAATTTACCTTCATTTCCATTATTCTCTTATCCAACAAGCCAATGGCATTTTCAATATCTTGGGGGGTTGCACTTGAGGTTCCCCCAAAGTCTCCCATTTCAAAGGGGTCCAATATTTTTGCACTAGTGGTGCTAAAAAAAATATTTACAATGTTTACAACAATTATTTAAACACCCTGAATATAAGCAAATATTTAAAACAAGTTTCTTTATTTTAACTATGATGTGTTTATGTGACAAAATTTGTCTGTAAAAAATTCACATGGGGGGCTTATGACCCAAAAAAAGAGTTAACATTTTATATGATGATTTTTAACTTAACTCAAAAACCATTTAATGGTTTTTACATTTCTCAGAAAATGTCATTCCTGCAAGATATCATGATAAAAGTTTTTGTTTGACTAAAACCCCCAGAATATGCCACACATTATTTTTATTATATTAATATAATTTGAAATTATGATTTTTCTGATTTTTTTTTATAAAAATAATTTTTTAACAGTTTTGTCTTTTGTTATATTTTTTTAAACAAATGAAAAATTATAAAAATGCATAAAACATGCCAATAAAAACGATTACTTTTGAGAAATAACAAATAAACGAAAACTGACCAAAAATTATTTCTATCTACTATTATTGCATAATATTAGGTTTTTTCGTTTATAATTATAAACATTATAAATTCTCTGCCTAACAAGGGGAATAATGAACTCATTATTCACGTTGTTGGGCATCAGTGATTTGAACCAATCAGGTTTTAAATTGGAAGAAGGCGTCTAAAATAATATTTAAAATTAGTAAAAAGTGAGGTTAACCATTTGACAGATGTCAGATTTTATTTATTTATTTTTGAAAATCATTTATTGGAGTAGATAAAGTATAGTATTACACTAGAGTTTATGCGCATAATGTATAATACTATTATTATCTTATTTATTATTTTAGTTAAACATTTTCAGAAAAATCAAAATTGCAAATTAATTATAGACAATTAAAATGATGTGTCACATATTCTGGGGGTTTGAAATCAAGCAAAAACTTTTATCAAGAATGACATTTTCTGAGAAATGAAAAATAGTTTATTTCGTCTTTGTAATCCCATCATACTAAAAATTGTAATATTTTCAGAAAATTGTAAACCTAGAAAACAATCTTAGAAAACTTAACCTCAAAACCGAAACACATCTGTCATGATATCATTAAGGTTAGTTCACACTACCCACATAACACAATATGTTTTAAAAATGTTGTCAGGCCGTTTGGAGAACAATATTTATAAATGAAAGGTTGATAAAATGTTGTATGAACATGAACAGGGAAAAATATTTGTATAATATAAATATCAAGTAAATATTTTTCAACATTTATTTCGCAATTTTATGTAAATATTATTTCCTAAATATTGTTAACAATATTTATAAACTTTTTTATGGCACGCCGTTTTACTTTTTAATGACATTAAAAAATTAACTCAAAAATTATCAAAATTAAAAATTGCCTAGAAAATATAAACGTCCATAAAAATTACTAAATTAAATTTAATTATAAATTAAAATCTACCAATTTATTTTTTGGTGTATTGGATAAGTTTCCATATATATTTACATCATTCTGGTGTGACTTATATTTTTAAGCCTCAGTTTTTATTGTATGAATATTTTTTTCTATTTAAAAAAGGTGCTTTTATGTAAATAATAATATTTCATTTATTAATTTAAAATTAAGTTAAAGTAGAATATTTATTTTGGAATAAAAATTAGACAAGATTTAAATCTGTAAGCGCAAGGCAAAATTTCTCGATGAAAAATTCGATAAATTAAAATGTTGGTTAACACTCGTAAACAGAATTTTAATTTGGCGCTATTGCATAGAGCGGTTGTGTTACGTACTACTGCCACGAAGCGAAACCACATAACGTCGAAGGTACATAAGCTCAAAAATAAATTAGGGAACAGTGCAGTCCAAAATTTTCAGTGCTATCAATAATGTAAAACATTAAATGTATATCGACATGATATTGATTATTAAATTATGTAAGGGGTGCATTTCAACAAGACTATAATAATAATTTAGATATGGACTCTCCTAATAGACAATTTAATTGTGGTTCATTATTTACTTAGTTGTCTATGCAATAGGATTTCTCGCAGAAGATATTTATATAATTACCAGAATTGTCCTACTCGTTACGTGTCCGAGCCGACTACCTGAACACTGTTTAGTGAACAGTAATAAGCATAGAAAAAGAATATAAGACGTAATTGAAAATAATCCACAAACTTAACATGAATGTAATTAATGGTGGATTGAAAATATTGTATTGTTTTTTATCTTTTAGTCAATAAAAAACAAAATTTTGGTAAAAAGGATTTTCTTTATTTTAATTTCAATAAATTAGGTAAGAAATTAAGGAAAGCAAAACAGGTAAGTAAATAAAATGGCAGCACTGAATTTGAATGCACAGTTGCCTAATTTATTTTCGAGCTTATGTACCTTGGACGTTATGTGATTTCGTTTGGTGGCTTTAGTACGTAACACAACCGCACTATGCACTAACGCCAAATTAAAATTCTGTTAACCAAAATTTTAATTCAGCGAATTTTTCAGTCAAAAAATTCGAGGTACATAATATTTATTCCAAACAATAAAAATAAGGAATTATTATTTTGTCACATACAGCATTGAATTTATTATCTAAAAAAATAATCGGATTAAAAGAAATATGGCAGAAAGATTCTTAAATAAAAATTCGTATTGCTAGATTTAAATAACATAATAATTAATAACAATTATACCACAACTTTATACCTGTGTAAAAATTGTTTCAAAGTGTTTTAAACAAAAAAATAATTCGTATTAAAAGTAAATATTAAAATTTTTAAAAATAACAATAAAAATAAAATTGTATTCAATTTTTTTTAGTCAAATAAAATTTTCAGTAATATTAAAAAAATTTAAATATTAAAACAAATATTTCGTGCAAAATATTTGTGTGTCGAATAAGAAACTTTATCACTTTAATTTCTAACAGGTAAATTGATTTTTATGTCGACGAGTTATAATAGAAAATAATTGCAGTATTACTTTTTCTTAAATAAATGTCGCGCACCTTGAATTAACTGGCTAAGAAATTCGATGAATCAAAATTTTGGTTCAATTTGACTGCGTGTTTCTCAAGTAGCGCCTTATTAAAGTTATTTCAAGCCAAATTTTAATTCATCGAATTTTTTAGTCAGAAAATACGCCATTCAGTTCCAGAACTAAAATTACTTTAATTCTTATTCTGTGCTTAAAATTGTGTACTTAATATACCAAGACATCATAAAATTTTTACTTTAAAATGTTCAGTCAATTTTTAAAAACGAAACTTGAATTAATATTTAGCTTTAATAAACACGACATTAAAAAGTAAAACGGCGTGCCATACTTTTTTTTTGATTTGATTGTGGAGCAAAATAATATGTAAACCTCGTGAAGAATGGTCGATTATGAACTCGCAAAATCGACCATTTTCTTCACTTTTTGCGCTATATACAACTGTTTAAATTTGCACTACAAGTTATGTTTTACCTGTTGGGTGATGGCGTGAAGTTCTGCTGCACAGCAGGAGCAAACGGTCCGGATCCGAACAAATCCTGACTGGGCAGTTGCGACGAAAACTCGTTATTGTTATTGTTGAAACTCAAGTTCGACCGTTTCGCCGCTTTCGGCGGTGGCGCGATCATGGGAGGACTGGAGGCTGTTCCGTTGGTGTTCGGATAAAACTGATGGGCAGCGTTGTGATCATTCTCGAAGGATCTCGGATCGAAATCGTTGTCCTGATCCAGCTCGTTCAAGAGAAGTCCTTCCAGTTTGGTGCCGACCATTGGGGCGTTTTCGAAGGATCTCGGAGGAACTGGAGGAACTAAACATTACCCAAGCAACAATTTAAGTATTTGTTATGTATATGGCACTTTAAATGTCAATTGGCGTTTAAAACTCTTTATTATTAATTTGTACGCTCTAAGCTTCAGTATGGTTTTCTAATTTGGAATCCAATATACTCTACTAATATAAGTAACTTGGAGAAAATTCAACGACGGTTTTTAAAATTCCTCTCTTTTAAACAAAACGGTGCATATCCAGATCAGGGTTATGATCACTTAACTCTTTTGAATGAATTCGGGTTTAGTTCCCTGCAGTTAAGGAGAGCCACGTTAAGTGTAAAATTTTTGTACAATTTGGTACATAACAAAATTGACGCTCCCCTACTATTAAACCAAATAAATTATTTAATACCAAGAAATACTCGTACCAACCTTACATTTTACTGCCCCAACGCTAGGTCGAATATTATTCTTAAGTCACCAATTTATTTTATGTGCAAAAATTTTAATACAGGGTCCGGCATCAGAATTGAACGGTTTTGAAAAGGCTGCAATGTCAAACTGGCCGGTTAATCAACGGATCTTTGCTGTAAATTTGTTTACCCTGACCCAGTCCTTCGTACAAACGCAGAGACGCTTTCGTCGTGAATATAATTTTCCAGTGCGAGCTGAAGTTCCATAAAAAAATGCCATTTTGAGATGGGTAAGAGATTTTAACGAAAGAGGCAGTGTAAAATCAAAATTTTCCGCTGGAACTTGTACAGTTTGTACACAAGAAAATATTGGAAGAGTCAGAGAAGCGTTTGAGCGGCACTCGATTGCTCTACACATTTCAGACCGAAGTTTGCGACGAATGTTACATCTGAATTTAAAACGCCATCCAAAAAACCGACAGTCCAGAGGCTAAATCCCATTGATAAAGTCAATCGAAACTTTCGGCAATAAGGAACAAGTCTGTCACTATTTGACAAATATTAAATCAATATGTAGTATTTCCATAGCAGCCACGAAACTTTCGGCAATAAGGTACAAGTCTGTCACTATTTGACAAATCAAGAGTATTTCCAAAGCAGCATTTTTAAAACCGTTCAATTCTGTTGCCGGACCCTGTATATACTGCAATAAATGTGACATTAACTTCAATAGTATTGGTTTTATAATTGATAGCTTAGGTAAAAACTTTTTAGTCTAATCTTGTTATACCTCTTTTTGTATTTATATATTTTTTTAATATTATTAGGACTTATTTTAATTTCTTGTGTGTAATTGTTTTGTAAATGGATTTTATATCTGTTGGGCAATAAACATTATTATTATTATTATTATTATTATTATTATTATTATTGAAGAAACTTTAAAGTGTTTTACGACGGTCGCCGGTCTCTTTATATTACTCTTTCATTACTAAGTTACGACTAACGTGGGGAACAATTATTGAGTTCCAAAAAGGTAACAAATATGTCACTAGCAATAAACCCTGCTACTATTTCGAACGTAGCTGCTACGTTACTAGAACGTTTCAATATCGTTGCTAGAGCGTTATAATTACTTTTATTTATTTGTTTTTACTTCTATATTAACTGTCTTTTTCAATCTTATTAGATTATACTATCCCTCCTTTTCTAAATGGAACCACTACGGACTTATAATATAATGTTTAATTAGGCAGGTAAATTAATAAACCCTTTAAATTTTATTGTTGAACTTTTAATTTAGTTTTTGTAAATTGAATGCGCTTCATCAATATTTAAGTAAAGTTCATTTTTTTATCTGGATTGCGGCATCGTTGCAAATTTAGGGTTTTGGTTGGTAAATACAGTTGTCAAGTTGGTCGCATTGATTAAAACAAACTAAGCTAGTTATAAATCTAATTGTGGTTATGTATAAATTATTGTAGGTTACATTGTGCAGTTGTCAAGTTGAGTTGTCGAAATTCGTAGTTAAAAATGCAATTAATTTGGCTTTGGTGGTGCTTGGATGAGTAAAATCATATAAAAAAGTAGTTAAATATAGGTTGCTTTACGGCCCAGAAGAGAAAGTATTCCTAGCGGATAATAATCTTCGCTTTGAAAAGAATTTATATAAAAGAAATTAATTTTTTTTGTACGTAAATGTTGTCCAATGGTGAATAATGTGAAAATAATGTGTGATGTAATATTTATAAAACCAAATTCGTTACTTTTTTATTTCAAAAATGTCCATAAGGCAATGTACTTTTTCTTCCATTGTGGCATTTGACATAATTTCATCAAAATGAAGTTTTGCCCTCAAAAGGGCTTTTACATTCGAATTTGTTGCTATTATTTTTGGCATAATTATCCTTTTATTGACAAGTAAATTATCAATAATAAATATTATTGTCAATTTGACAGTGTCAAAGTATTTAATTAAATTCTTTAGCAGAAGTACCATTTTTAAATACCTACTAAAAATACCAAGTCAAACTGGCATAAGCCACCAACCTAACAATAAAACACGACTCCAGATAAAACAAAATGAACTGTATTAACAAATTATTTATTTAATATTGTTTATAAATAAAAAAATCTTAATATTTATTATTAAATTTTTATTTAATTATTAATACCGTCTATTACCAACAAAATTACTATTTATTAAAAAGTAAACAATCATTTACAAACAGTTAAAATAATTTATTATTTACATTACCATGTGGTACTGTACAGTAAAAAATGGCCGATAAGAAGCATTTTCGCTACTTTAAAGTTTTTTCCACCTTAATTTACTTTACGGTAGTTTTCGTTAGTACCATACACGTTTCAAATACTAAAATAATAACTTTTAAGTTATTAACTTTGCAGTTTTTAACTCATGTTCCAGTTTCGAGATTTTAACTTGCAAAGGGACTACAAAGTAAAAATAATTATAATGTAATCTTTAGGTAGCAACCGAAAGTAACTGCTACAAATTAAATTTACTTGAAAGTTTTTTTTACTTATAAAACATTTTTTAAAGTTGCAAAGTCTTTTTGGGAGCAACCTAGTTTTACTTAAATGTTTATTACTTTATAGTAACCATTTAAGGAAAGAATGAAGTTTATGTCACAAAATATTGCTATTTAAAAGTTGGAATTACTTTTAAGTAAAAATTAAAGTAGCTGTTTAGTATACTTAACTAATTTAAAGTTATCACCACTTGGGTAAAGTTTGATTATCAAAAAAACTCACCATTTCCATTGGTTGTATTCGTGTTTAAATCCAGCAACTCGCTTACTGAATTACCATTGGTGTGACTGCCATTATTCATGCTAATAGTGCTAGCAGTACTGGTACTATTACCATTCTGCGCAGATGACGGTATCTCCAACACGTTCTTAATACCCTGCATCCTTAAAAACTGCTCCATCTCGTACTTGATGCTTGCGAATTGCGAGATCTCCAGCAGTCTTTGTTTGTAGATGTTGTTCTCTTGCTCCAACCGCTTGATTTTCTGCTGCGTGAGCATGGCTCTGCGCTGAGACTCCAAATCCTTGCCGGAGGTTTCCAGGAACCTTTTGTAAGCCAACTCGAACGCCTGGCCGATGGTCAACGTGATCTCTTCGGCCAGTTTGTCCGATATGAAGACGAAGCATTCGTGAGAGTCTTCGGCTTCATTATCAACTGAAGAATCAATAAATGAATAATTGTGTCTGCTTCTGAGTCAATCCAAATGAAAACACCAAAAATGAATTTAAAAGTGCGCTGCATGATTTTTTATTTTAATGAAAAAAATTGAGAATGATCTTTTAGGTATCATATATGAAAAACCGTTGCCGTTTTAATTTTTAGTTGCTTTATTTTTAATCGGCACCCTTTAGAAACCTGAAATCGTGTCATTTTCTTACTCTCTTATAAGAGGCTAATACTTTTTTTCTGTGGCAATTATTGAAATGATTGTAATTTTATTTTACTGCCTAGTAAGTATGCTTTCAATATTGATTATTATTATCTAATTAGTTCATCTCATAAAAAAATGGTAAACCACTAAAGATTTGAAATAATTTGCCAATTTTTGTGATTTTTGTCTGGCTCCTGTGCCTATTCTGCTAAATCTAGAAAACGTAACTTTTATTTTAAGTTTCTATACTATCATTTTCTTTATTAAAAAAATTATTGAAACTTGATAATTTTCAAAATTAGCCAATTTATATATTTATCTCCACGCGGTCTATAATTTAAACTTTATTGTTGTAAACATTCGATAAAGAAATACCTCGTTATGGCCTAGGCCGATAAAAATTTTTATGAGGCAAGTAATTAGTTCGATTTTTTCTCGCTAGGGGTATTGTTTTGACAAATTAATCCTTTTCTAAGAAATTAACGTACTAAACTGGTTTAATTTATTTATATTAAGCACTAATTTGTTTGTTTTACTGTTAATGTTTAATATTTTTCATTAAATTGTTGTAAAATTAAATATGAATAATAAAACAAAAAGTGAGGTTAGGCAACCAAGAAAACACCCGATTCTTTTTCTACAATTTAAATTATCTTTAAGTTTTAATTTGCTTTAAGTTTTCAGTGAAATTAAATGTTAAACACAGCTTAAACATTCCAAACTACCTATTTTTTAAATAAAAATCCAAACAAATTGAAATTAGATATGTACCTACCTATTTATTAAACAATTAATTGAATTCAATGTAATAGCAAAAATCCATTTCTACTTAAATCATGTAGCTAGACATTGTCAAACTATTACTGCTTCTAAAAGCAATAATAAATATTGTACATGTAATGTAATCTTTAGCTGTCATTCGGCCAAGAAGTGCCTTTTTGTGCTTCGCTCAATTGTAGGCCTCCGCTACGCGTCGGCCTTCAAACCTTGAGCTTAGCACAAAAAGCCTTACTTCTTAACCTAATGACATAAATAACTATTATGAAATATTTTTGACAGTTCTGACATTTCTCTACCAAACATGAATTGACTAAGTCAAAGTCATCTAAATTTTAAATTATAAATAAAACTAACAATATCGTTTCTTAACTGCATTAAAAAAATTATTATATTTACAAAATAAAAATAACAAAACAAGACTAACTAGACTAAAAAGATAAAGGTGGGGACTACATTTCCTGAAAGTTTCAGATTTTTATTTTTTCCTCAACATAATGATTTCTGAGGGCAAAATTGGCTAATTTTGAAAATTATTAAGTTTCAATAATTTTTTTAATAAAGAAAATGATAGTCTAGAAACTTAAAATAATAGTTACGTTTTTTATTGTATAAGTACTTGATACCTGAAAAAAAATAACTTTCTAGATTTAGTAGAATAGGCACAGGAGCCAGACAAAAATTACAAAAATTGGCAAATTATCATGAATCTTTAGTGGTTTACCATTCTTTTGTGAGATTAACTAATTGGACAATAATAATTTATATCGAAAACACACTTACTGAACAGTAAAAAAAATTAAAATCATTTCAATATTTGTCACAGAAAAAAAGTTCTGGACCACTATAAGAGAGTAAGAAATTGACACGATTTCAGATTTCTAAAGGGTGCCGATTAAAAGAAAAGAATCCAAAAATTAAAACGGCAACGGATTTTCATATTTGATACCTAAAAGATCATCCTCAATTTTTTTTATCAAAATTAAAAATCAAGCAGCGCACCCCATTTGGTGTTTTTATTTGGAATGACTCTTCTACACCTTTTCCAGTTGATATTCAGAAAGTAGCAATTGATATTCAGAAAGCAGCAATTGATTTTCAGACATAGCAAATGAAATTCAGAAAATAGGAAATGTAATTCAGATATTTAAAATGATATTCAAAAAGTAGATGATGTAATTCAGATATTGCAAATGATATTCAGACAGTAGCAATTGATATTCAGAAATTACTTATAGTATTCAGACAGTAACAATTGTAATTCAGAATATGTCAATTGAAATTCAGAAATTAACAAATGATAACATTTTCATACTTCATTTTACTTATTTTCTAAAATCTCAATTTAATGTATTTCTTTGTATATTGCTTTGTTTCCATGGAATTGACAATAATAAACAAATTTATCACCATTTAAGTAGGTATATTTGTCACAATTGTAAACTCATTGCAAGTAAGGACCGAATTTTGTTCATTTGTACTTTATATAAATTTCATTTACTTAGTTAATAAAGATAACGTGTACTTTCATTCATCATCGATTTACTGTATGCAACCCTCTGTTCCTGAAACAATTCCTGCGGCTAAATTACATTTGATTTAATCTGAAAAACAATTGCTACTTTCTGAATTACAATTGCAAGTTTCTGAAAATCAATTGTGTTATCTGAATTACAATTCCTACTTTCTTAAAATCAATTGTGTTATCTGAATTACATATGCTACTCTCTTAAAATCAATTGGAATAGCTGAATTACAATTCCTACTATCTGAATATCAACTGGAATAACTGAATTACAATTCCTACTTTCTGAATATCAACTAGAAAAGGTGTAGAAGACATCTTACCTTGATTTGGTTGTTTAGCTATGAAAGAGAAGAACTTTTTCTCGCCCTTATCGTCCGCGCAATAGGATATCCTGTGGAGGGGGAATTGGTGCAAGATGGTGTGCGATTTGGGTTCCTGGATGGCCACGCCGTCTATGCTTATCGTTAGTTCTACTTTGCGCGTTTTGGCACCGGTCTCGCTCTTCCTCAGCTGCTGTGAAAACCTTAATTTACGTATACCTTCTTTGACTACTTCTATTCCTAAAAATATACACAGAAAATTTATAGAAAACTATGCATTCATCAGTATTTCTACTTAATACTTTATTATGGGCGATTCATGAAGCTACAGGAACATTTGAAGAAGCAAAATGTCGAGTCTTCGCAAAATAGTTATTTATGTATCAAGGCAGTAAAGTCGTATTTTTTATCACGAATGTGGAAAACCACGTGAGTGATAAAAAATGACTTTAATGCCGAGGTGCATATTAAATTTTATCCGAAATCACATTTATTAATACTAATAATTAATATTTATGATTAAATCAAATGTCATTTGATGATCAAATCAAATGTCATTTGAATGTAGGAATGTTTGTTGCGTCGCGACGGTTATTATATATTTGCCCGCCGCGGCGATTTTTTAATCTAATTAATAAAATTAACTTATTATTTTTATTAAACAACATTTTATAAAAGGGTCCAATCAACCTCCGCGACGGTGCTTTTTATAAAATATTATTTAGTTGCTGCTGAGGAGCAGTAGACACATCTTAAAATGTTTAATGGGTTGCATACAATACTCGTATTAAATCGGCAGTAAAGTTCTACTACCTAACCCTTTATTTACCAAACCAATATTTGTTACTTTTTAAGCTGACATAAAATGTTTTATAATAATAACAACTAAATCCAGCAAAAATTTTAATATTATAGTATCTACCATGGTACAAGAAAACAAGGTATGTTCTTGCGCATATTTACATTTTGATGTAAGTTGTTTTTAAGCTATTTTAAAGTTTAGTGTAAAAAATGTCTACATTTCCTTAGTATGGGCTTAAGGATAGTAAGTAGATTTATTTTAAAAACAATTAAATAGCAGTAGTTTTTTAGGGGTCCTTTTGTATACAAACAATATCTGTGACAAATATAAATAAAAAATAATTTAGGTTAATATTTTTGTTTGTTTTGTAGCTTGTATTTGTTCCATTTACTTCGAAGATAGTTGCTATAAGAAGGAAAACTGGACCGAAAAAACATACAAACTACATTCCCATTAAAAAAGTCTTTAAAATTGGATAGGGTTCCAACTTTACACCTAACAGAACAAAAAAAATCAAGTACTTTGTAAGAAATTAAAATAAAATTTAAAAAAATATATAAATCATAGTTCTTTTTACAGTGTACAAGAAATAGGACAAAACCAGGAAGCTTAATATGATATTTGAAGACTCTAAGAAATCAAGTAAATGTACATGTACTGCAGTGTAAGAAATGAAAATAAAATTTGAAAAACAAAATAAATCAAAATTAAATATTTCTTTTTGCACTGTGCTGAAAATGTGCCAAGACAAGGAAGTTAATAATCTTCAAGGACAGTCCAGAACAGAAATTCAAACTGCTGATGAAAAGGAAATGGCCTGGGATTGAAACATCCCAAAAGCCATACCATGATATAATATTTTTCCAGGTTAAGTTTGTTTTATTTAATGTTAGCTCCATGGTGGTCAATTTAGGGTTTTTATTTGGCAACTAAACTTAAATTTCAATTATTTGTAAATACAATTTTGCAATAAATTAATTTAGAAAAATATGCTGTTTACATTTTTCTTGCAATTGCATTGATGTTAATGTTGTAACTTTTTATTTCATTCTTTATATTTGCTTTAAAACAAGATACCTAGGTATTTTATTTGAAAACCATTATTTAAAACATTTAGGTAACCTAAAAATTAAAATTAAATTTTTCTTAGCACTTTTTTCATATATTTTATTTGGTATTTAGTATATACACTCACAGTCAAAATAATCGATCCACACAAATTTTCGATGAATTTCAATCGCAAATAACTTTTTTATTTAATTTCGGATTTAAACAAATATTAAAGAATATTTTAGATACATTAATGGAGAATCGCTCACATTTTAAAAATTACTAAAAAATACACGTACGTTTATAATATACAGGTTTAAACAAAAATATGTTTTTACCATAAGTTTAAGACACTCTGTAGAGTGGCAAAACCGTATATTGTTCTAAATTAAGTTTTAATTACAAGTCACATCTATTTTTAACAGTTTTGTTTTTGGTTCACATTGATATATTTATATTTGTGGAAAATATGAATTTTTTTAAAAAAACATTTCAATTTCCAATATTTTTCCCGTATGAATAACTAAGGTTGCTATCCTTAGCCTATGGAGGATGACAGTGACAGTTTTGTTGAATCATCCCATACTTGGACATGTCATATACAGCTTTCAAAAGGTATCAAATTGTTTTTTGTAAATTAATGTGTTAATTTTGAGGTGTCTTCTTACTTTTAAAAATGTCTCCGACTGATGTTGCCCTTTGTATTTTACTTCTTGTGACGTTTAAAATACTTGCCACGTAATACTGTGACCGTCCATCCTGGATTAAATTAATGGCTCTGGCAACATCAGTCGGAGACATATCCATTTTTTAAAGTAAGAAGACACCTCAAAATTTAAACATTAATTTGCAAAAAACAATTTGATAGCTTTTGAAAGCCGTGTATGACATGTCCAAGTATGGGATGATTTAACAAAACTGTCACTGTCATTCTTCATAGCCTATGGATGGACCATAGCAACCTTAGTTCTTCATACAGAAAAATATTGGAAATTGCAATGTTTTTTTAAAAAATCTATATTTTCCACAAAAATAAATATATCGAGGTGAACCAAAAACAAAACTGTTAAGAATAGATGTGACTTGATAATTAAAACTTAATTTAGAACAATATACGGTTTTGCCACTCTACAGAGTGTCTTAAACTTATGGTAAAAAACATCTTTTTGTTTAAACCTGTATATTATAAACGTCTATTTTTTAGTATTTTTTTAAAATGTGAGCGATTGTTCATTAATTTATCTATAATATTCTTTAATATTCGTCATCAAATAAAAAAGTTATCTGCGATTGAAATTCATCGAAAATTTGTGTGGATCGATTATTTTGCCTGTGAGTGTATTATTTACCTACGTTAAAACAATATATTTTATTTGATTGAAAAAACATATAAAATGGTTTTTTTTATTAATAATATTGTGGGATATGGTTTTTTACGTACCTATGATCTTCAAATTATTCGACAATTTAATCTAAAAATCGGATAATTTTATAGAAATTTAAATGAATTTCATAAGAGAATAATATTTAAATTTAATTTCAAAGGCGGTAACTAAATTATGAAAAACGTGTTAAAAATGCACTCAACAATTTTCTAAACCGAAGGTCGCATACCTAATAACCATGGTGCACTAATAATTACGTGATATACAATGTGTCAGAATTTTATAAATATTACTTCATAACGTCCCACAATAAAAAAAAAACAATAATTCAATCCCTACCTTTTGGTTGATCTACTACTGTGTTTCCCAGAAACTTGACTAAATAGGCTATGTGACCTTTTTGAAGCGCATCGGGAGGGTGAATCCACTTTCTTTCGCCATTCGTACTGGTATTGTTGTTACTTTTCGTTCCATTTAATTTAATTTGTGTGCTTTGCGCCCATTTTTTTAACGTAGACATTCTGGAACAAACATTGAAAGTGTAATAATACTGCTCAGTATTAATAACAGTAGGATAAGAGAAATACCAAGATTGTGTTTTACATTTTTATTTGTTTTAACTGCACTGATAAAATATTATAAACATTTGTTAATTAGGATGTATGTATAAATGTATTTGCCGTAAGGTCAATGCTTTGTAATTTAATCTACTAGACTAGATGTCTGTTTTATGTATTCATGTTTATCTAGGATTTACAAAAAATGCACATTGTTTTTGTAATATTTCATTTACTTATTTATGAATCATAGGATTGTTATCGGGGGTCAGATATTAGTCTCTGTCGGGGGTATTATGCAAAATTAAGATTTAACATTTATTTTTAACTAAGGTCAATATAATTAACAGTTTTTATTTGTACTTAGGTAACAAGAGTTTTTAATGAACATTTCAATGATTTTAGATTTTTTGATTAAAATTTGTACGTACTTACAATTATAATACCAATTATTATAAAAGTATAAAGTGAGGTTAGATAGCTTCAGAGTTGTCACAGGTAAAAAAAATGTTGAATGGTCCTAACGGATTTTTTATAGACTAGGATGTAAAAAACTTCACCTGATTCGTCTAAATTATTTTATCCCAGCTGGGTGTGGATTTTTTTAAATTTTTGCATTAACAAATAACAAATAATATGTACACTCAGAAATATGTACATGCACTGATAATGAAACTAATTTTGTAAGCGATTTATAAAATAATATTATTTAACTTAAATGTAAAATTGTAAGGTACCTTTTTTATTAAATTTAATCGGGACATAAGCCTAAATTTTATTGGGACATAAGCCTACGATTTGTTAAAGTAATGAGATTATTTTTTTTACAGAATAAACTTTTTTTACTGTTAATAAAATTCTCATTTACTATAATGAAGCAGCAATGTTGAGCTTTTAAAAAAAAAGTTTATCCATCAAAGTAATAGTTGTTATCGATAATATGATCATATAATATGATCATATTGTCATGGCAATAAGAAATACTTTATGTTTATATTAAATCTTTTCTAAATTACTATCGTTGTAATTCAAATTAATTTTATTTCAGTTAGAAAATCTTTGTTAATAGCTTACGTTAAGAACAATAACAAAAATATTGTATTGCTATAAAAAGACTTTTTTAATATTTACTGTTGTTTTGCAATGGTAACCAAATTTTTGTTATTTCCCTTAAAAAGAGGGGGAAACTTTATAACTTTATAATTCACAGTCTGTGTTATAATCTTATTGATTTCACTTGTGCGAGTGAAGTGTCGTAAAATCTAGCATGATAAAAATAACAAAAAGATCACAAGAAAATTAAAATTTCGACGTTTTCTAAAAGAAATATTTGAGGTCTATTCTATAAACGAAGCACACTTGTTTAAAAAGTGAGTTTATATTTTTTTATTTTGTACATCATATAATAATAATAATAATTTTTTTATTATAATAAATAATTTGTTTTAATGCCTTGCAAGTATTAAAAAAAAACTACTTAACACCCAACAGTAGGTTGAAAATGTTACCATTGTTACAATGAAAATAGTTTATTGAATTAACAATTAATTTGTTGTTAAATTTACATATATTATAAAAAAGTTTTATTTTGAACGAAAAGATTTGTAAAATTTACAAAATTTTTATGAAAAATACCATTAGGGTTTCAATAATACTACAAAACGTTTTTGTAAACGGTATAGAACTGTTTTTTTGGATAAATAATAATAACTATATTTATCAATGCGTTTCTGCTCTTATTTTTATAAACATAACGTAAATTTACTTAATAGTTAGGTAATGCAAATGCTATTACTGAAAGCAGCGTTTGCAGATAAATAATTTTTATAAAAATGATCTTTTTGCCGTAACAAAAGCAATTGTTGGACGAATAGGGATCTTTACTTTATTAATTAGACAAACTACTTTTTTGTTATATTCATTATTAAAATTTTCTGAGTGAAATGTATTGAACTTAAAATTGTTGAATGGCTGTTTTAAGAACTTAGGTTCACAGATTATAAAGGTTAAATGCGAATTGTCACTTTTGATTCTTACACGAATTATTGATATACAGGGTGACCTGGAACTCCATACCAAATAGGTACTTTTATTTATTTACTTTCATATTGTTTAAAAACGATTTGCAATAGAGCAAATAAATGACAAAATTTTATTTTTGCTTCGAGTGCAATGCTTTTCCAGTGAACAACCGCGAGGTCAGCCGTGACCTGAATTGACTAATAGTGTTTTGTTTTGGCGTATGGGTATGGTTTTACATTAAAAGGTACTTCAGAAAATAACTACTTTAAAGGAAACATACCTGTACGAATATTTGACGAATACAAATTGCAACAGTATTACGGGGTGAATTTTGATTTGAATTTTTGGTTCAATATAATTGTCCTCCGAATAACACTTGTAATAAAAAATATCACACCTTAAAATATCGACATATTTTTTTGAACTAAGATTATACCAACCAAAATAAAAATTGAGAATTGGGAATAACCCAACAATTAAATTAATTAAGGTAAACAATTTGAGTCAATTATGGTTATTTTGTTTATAATTTTTTTAAAAACAAAACTATAAAACAACAATTAATTAAATTGCATTTTAGATTTACAGTCCTAGGTATTTACTACGCTTATGTTATTTTTAATTTTAAACTTATTTACCGATTATGCAAAGATTAAAAAATAAAAAGTAATTTACTCTAATAGATATTGTATTGTGCAACATACTTATATAAACTACTTTAAGCCCATAATAGAGTTCTACTTCTCATTCGTCCATTGTATTTATAATAGTGTTTTATCCCATACGACTAAAGACAGGAAACATATTTCTATATTTCTTGATTGAGATTAATGCATATATCCTAATTCATATTGTACAATAATGTACAATAATGGTAAGAGAGATGTCATAAAAAAACGTGTCGTCTACTAATGTAATGTAAACTGTTCTTAGGTCTCCTCTTAGTTAAAACACGTCCAAATCAAACCGGTAAATGGTTTTTAAGTAGTTATTTTAATTTATTTGCTTTAAGTGCATATATAAATGCAGATGATGATGGCGAAGCGATTCATTTTTTTTAGTGCCACATTGACGCTTTAGTCACGGGTTGCAGCTAGCAACAGGTTTTTAGTCACGGGCTGAAGATGGTCTTAAGTTATTTGACAGTTATAAAATGTCATACAATCAGGTAACTAGATTTAACTGATAGAGGGTTAAAAATTTTGCGTACAGTGCACATAAAACATTCTCTTATCTTTTACTGTGAAAAACTGCTTCTATATCAATTGTTAGTCTATTTTCAAGGGATAAATTTTGATGTACACAAAAATTCAAACGGGAATTCCAATAAATACAACTGTTACTTTTTGTATATTTTGAACATTTCCCGTGTAAGAATGTTTAATACTTTGTGATAATGTTTTGCAATTACAGTAATAAAAAAAATCAAAGGATAAAATATTTTCTTAACAATCATATTTTGAAGATATTTTAATATTCTAAAGTATCAATAATTGTTAAGTTTAATTAAAATAATAACGGGCAATATTAATGGTGAAAATTACGTCAAAAATGTTTATTGGGATGGTACTTTATTTTCGTTTAGATGTCGCTTTATACAAAAATTTAATTTAAATTATTTTTTAGACAATATCAAGTATTTCTCGTAGAAAAAGTACGAGGTGTGTTCAGAAAATATCGAAAATTTTCGTTTTTTGAAACAAATATTTATTTATTCGTCTAAATTAATTTTGTCGCCTTCAAAATAGTCCCCATTGGATATTATGCACATGTGCCAGCTATTCTTCCAATACTCGAAACACTTCTAAAACTTGATCTTTGGGATAGCCTTTAGTTCTTTCAGCGATGCGCTTTTAATGTCATCTATGCTTGCAAAACGACGGCCCTTTAAGATTCTCTTTATTTTTGGGAATTGGAAAAAGTCAGACAGTGGTATGTCTCGCGAATATATAGGCTGGGGCATCATTACAGTATTGTTTTTGGCCAAAAATTTTGTTTAAAATTTAACAATTTTAGAACAAATTTTGCTGCCACGCGTTTCATACCCAAAACATTCGAAAAAATTTCATGGGATGAGCCAATCGATATACCAACATCATCAGAGACTTCTCTGATGGTTTGTAACCATTTCTTCCACTTTTTCCATGTTTTTAACGGTTGTTAATGTGCTTGTGCGTTCGTGGCGTTCGTTATCTTCAACGTCTTCACGGCCATCTTGGAAACTCTTATACCATTTGTAAAGTCTTGTTTTACTTATAGCAGACTCACTATAGGCCTTTGTTAACATTTCATAGAATTTATTTAATTTTTTAAGCAAAATTGGAGACAAATTTTTTGATCCATTTCTTTTAACGAACAAAAAATCGCCGAGCTCATAAAACACGTCTAACCTTAGCGGCTGCCACAGACAAAGTAAACAATGAAAACAGTAAAAGTTTTTATCATACTTCGGGGGCATGTAGGTATACCAACATAATAAAGAAAATTTTATGACAACCGGACCCTCCGAACCCGCGAAATTTAACAATTCCCGTTATTTTCTGAACACACCTCGTATAGTATAAACTTTTCTAGGCACTTATTAATTTAAGTACTTGCTCGCAATCTCGCTCGTGCATAAATTAAATTGGTTACTAAAATGGCGTTTATCAAACTTGATACATAATTCGCTGAGAAAAAGTGGGGTTAAATTCGGTTGGCAGAAGTCAAATTTTTAACAAATAAATTTAACTTTAATTATTTTTTGTGTTTGACTTCTTTAGATGCTCGTTTATAAAATATATATGTTCTACAATCTAAATATTCTTTAAACGATTCACTTCATTTTGCATAATTCGCAGTTACGTGTTTTTAGGTCAAATGAGCGTTTATCCAACCAACAATGTACGTATTTATCCATTGTTGTCGGTCTGAAAGAACTGAATCCTTGTCTTTACAATCGT